ATTAAGACGCAAACCAGGTCAGATGTCACGCATACAACAAACTTTTTTTAGAGTAACAGAGCAAAGGTCCCTAGAGCGGATAGGACAGGCAGGAAAACAGAGACAGAAAAGAAAGGAGAAAGCAGAGAGATAAAGGACAGCAAGCAAGGGAGCATAGTTACCACCCACGATCCAGCGATTTTGTTGGTGGGGAAGTAGTTCCAGGCGGAAAAGTGCTTCAAATGCACCCATAGAGTCCCAGACTTTTATACAGTTCTTGCCCACTGTTTTTTTTTTTTTTTTTTTCCGGAGTAGGGAAAAACTCCTATCTTCTCCGTGCTCCTCCGAGATAGGAGGGGGGGTAGGTATGTCACCGGGTTAAGTCCTGCAGATAGTCTTTGTTTGGATAATTGCTGAGGTCTCTGCATAACGAAGGGGAGGATGAGACGACTGGCACTACAGGTTTAATTTATTGCAGGGGAGTATCCTGCTCCCAGAGCCAGCTGCAGATCTCTTTAGTCCATCAACAGATGTTGTTTCTCAGATGCCACAAGACACACAACAGATATCTTGAGTGCCAGAGTTCATCACTTATCTCTTGGATTGTTCGAGACAAGCACTATAAATTCTGAATGCCACAATCTGCTGTGTGCTCCCATTGTGCAACCTTCCAGATCATCACCTGAGAAGTCCAGAAACTTTATCTGAAAGAGGTGAGGATTCTTGCTTCTGAACTACCTTCAGATACTTAAAAGAGTAAAATACTGCTCCTTCAGACCTGAAAACTCCTTTGAGACTTTTTTTTTTTTTTTTTTTTTTTCACCCCCAGGGGTCAGAGCTTGTTTGTGTTTAGTATAATAGAAATGTTTTTTCTCCCTGAGATACAGATACTGAGAGTGTGTGTGTGTTGTGATTTTGATTGTAGCAAAAGGACCTGTGTGAAGCAGGTCATCTGAGATAGTCATGGAAGACTGGGCAGTGGCTGCAAGGCAAAGGTGGCATAATTTCCTTAATATCATCAATACAAAGCAACCATAGGAATTAAATCTCCATGAAATGTGCCTAGTATTCAGTACAAGTCTTTTGGAACAAAACGTCATCCTCCTTCTTGGTATGAAGTCTGTTTTTGTTTACAAATGTGAATTTCTGGAATAGTTTTTGATGTGTGCAGCATGATAAGCAGGATGTACCTGGAAGCAAATCTAAGTATTGAAGTCTATTGACTAAAAAGAATTGAAGGAAACAAAGTCCTTAGATCTAAAATCAGCTTTTGGAAATAATTCTTGTAATCTCCCACTCTATTTGGTATATATGTGCAATATTTTTGCTGTTGGAAATGTAGTTAATAGTCCTGGTTGTATTTGTGTCTTTATTTGTTTTAACCTGTGAGATGGTAGTCCTCTACTTATATATGAAAATAAGCTTAAAATTTCTAAATAAGATTAAATTCTAATCATTGAATTATTGGTGATATAATTATTAATATATTGATCATGAACATAAATACAAACTAGCTGTCTTTAATGAATAATTCCAAAACCAAAATTCATATAGTAACAGTTTTTCTATAGCCAATGAAAGGACATATCTGCAAGTATGTTCCAAAGCAGCAACCTATCTTTCTTCACTGTTTATAAAAAGGTTTCACAAAGATTAGACTCACAGGTAAAATGTTTTATTGCTTATGCTCTTGTTATTTCTATGCATATCTTACAGGTGTACATGACTAAGTTCAAATTTATAAGGTGAGCTAAGGCACATGAATGGCAGTTGCTTTGTAAAGATATAGTGGTGTCTTAGTATCTCGTTCTTGAAGGTGATAGTAGAAGTCAGCAAGCAAACTTTCTTTAAAAACATGATCATTATATTTTTATATATTTCTCTGCTTTGCATTCAGTAATGAGGTAGTAAAATTTATGTTTGTTATAAGAATGCATCCTAAATATCAGCATTTAAATTTCTGCATAAGCAATACACATAAAATTTGTCACAAGTAGGACTACAATTTGGAATAACAATTAGAATCCATTAAGGTTCTTTTAATTGTTTGGTTTGTTGTTTTTTTTCTCAGATTTTTTCATGCTAATTAATGTAACACAAAATGAGATTTTAAGCTTTGGTTAATTTATTTTGCTCAGGCTGAAGTACTTGTGCAAACTTCTTATTGCATAAAAACATGAGGGGAAAGTAAATTGAAGAAGCAGTAATATTAATACCCTCTTCAATATCCTGTTTAACATTTTTAATAGATACTTAGATCTTCTGGTTGTTAAATGAAACTGAAGAGTTGACACTGCATAAACTGATCCTCTTAACAGTTGTGGTTTTTTTTTCCCAAACTCTGACCATGCTAAACACTTAATATCCCAAAGGAATTTGCATAAAAATGTCATAGTGCCCTTCTGAAAAGGTGAATACAGCCCTTGAGCAAACTAGCAATGATGTCTTGATGTTAAAAAAATGAAGATAAGTAGGACTTGGAAAGCATTTAGATGGATTAGGTACTTATCTACCACTTGTGGGAAACTTCTTTTCTTCCCCACATAAGTCTGAAGGTAATGCTGTGTAAAAACAGGATCCTGCAGAGCCCTATCCTACTTCTTATCACATTTGTGCAGGAAAAAAAAAAAGAAAAAAAATCAGGATAAGGAAATACTGAAAGAAAGCTGCACAGTAAACTCCAGTTCAAACTGAGTGTAATTTTCTAGTGCTTGTCCTGGATACATTAAATGGTTAATTGGTTTTTCTGAATTTAGTTAAAAATAAGTGAAGCTATAATACATTCATACCCCCAGGTATCTCAGAAGCCGTTGTTAAGTTTCCTTCCTCAGTTAATATAATAGGTATAATATAATATAAGGTATAAATTTGTTCATATTCTTCTATAAAAATGTGAACAGTCTCCTTCAAAATGGTCATATTGATTACATAAATATGTCATTTTATAAAACAGATGCTATTTTTTTTTTTTTTTAACTTAAACTTACTTTAATCTTACTAGTACCCAACTAGTACCCTGCTAGTACTAGTTTTTCTTAAACTTAACAGCAAATATTTTCATTTGGAAAATAGATTCATGTGACTTTGACTGTTTTCATTTGGTTCTCATAAGGCTACATTTAGTCATAAAAAGCCAAACTGTGACACTGTTGCCTTTCTTAATAAAGGGTGTTGATCCTTTCAGTTCTTATGTCATTCTGCAAATGTTATCTGGATCAGCTTTGTATGGCCAGAGACTCCCTTGAGCTCGTTTTTTGCAAATTAAATAGCATATAAGAAAAGCAAATTTGAAACTCCATTTTTCTAATTTTATTTTTATCAACATATTTCTCAGTCCACCTACTTTTCACAACTGTTTTGCACTTTTTACTGTTCTTCCTTCTGGTACTGGCATGATCAGTTTAACCTGAAAACAACTATCATTTGATAGCTTCTGCAGGAGACAGCGGGACTATATTCTAGATGATGAATAGTATGTTAAGCCAATGAGTATCTGTAAGCGTGTGGCAAATGTGGGAATGTCATTGACCTATGGGTCACCTGATGAGTTTGCCTTCTGACCACAATGCATAAATGCATGATGGACAGAAACGATGAGAAAAAGTCAGATAACATAAAGAGAAACTCATGTGACTTTAGTAGAACCATAAAAATAAGCTTAGGAAAATCAATGAAATTATTCTGTTTTCTTGATCTGATGCTCTAACCTTTGCAAAAGGTTGTGTTACGACTAAACCTAGCAAAGTGTAACTTCCAGTTTCCATCTTATATTAAAAGCTCCAGACACAGTAAAAGAAAGGGAAAAGGTCAGATGTTCAGTGTTATGGTTTTTGTATTTTGTATTTCATATTGCAATATAAAGCAGCTTTTCTTTTCAATGGCATCCTCTATTGAACTTGAGGATTTTAGAACTGCTAAGTGCCATGTGATAGAACTATTAAGAATTGTAGATTTTTCTTTATGTGACCAAAAATACAAAATTTATGTGGAGAAAAGAGTGAGTTTATCTAACTGTTGAACTACATTACCTTGACCAGAAAGATCAATATACACTTAAGCCTTTTATAGTTAAAACATATTTTTCCAAGCTTGGAAAAATAAAATCAGAAATGTTAGTTTCATATAATGTATATTATATTTATAGTTTCTTAAGTTATTAATGTAAAAGGCTTATAAAAGATAATAATGTGAAAAAGAATTAATTTGAAAATGATGGTTGGAGGGGTGCATAGGGACAAGAATGACACTTACTCAATAAAATAAATTATTTTTGTGTCTTTTTTCTTCTTTTACCTTTTAATAATTAAAAAGGACATCAATGTGCAAAATAATGACTTGTGAAATTACAACATTCAGTCCAATAAAAGTAATAATTAATAGAAGATAATATTAGGCATCTATGTATATTCTTTTAGCTAATATAAAGTCTTGTAGGAGAACTGTATGGTTTGAGAGGCCTGTCATATGTTACTCAAATTAATCCCAAAGTCACATTACCAATAATAACATGAAATTTGAAGATTTCAAGTATTATTTTTAAGGTTTTAGTCATATTATGTTAGACAGTTATTTCATTTTTTGCAAGGATGTAAATGACTGAATTTTGCTCTGTACTACTGAATATAATGCAAGCTTTAGCATGTATTCAATGCAAAAAAAACCCAACAACAATAAAAAAAATAAAAATCACAGCCTAGTTGATATTCAGATACTTACTCAGATTTTAGTCTCATTATAGAAACAAAACCAGTATTCCTAAGTCTTCTCTTCTTTTCCAGACTTTAAAGGCCCTATTTGTATCCATATTGTATAGTTGAATGAATAGTAGTTTAAAAATAAAAGTTTCTAATACTGTAATGTTCAGATGACTGAGATGTCCAGTCAGAGACTGATCCCTCTCTTCACTTTTTTTCTGTAGATTTAGTTATAGAGCTAGGATTGTATATAAAAGACCCTTTAATACTGCATGGTTTGTAAATACCAAGTAAATAAATTTACATTTGTTATAAATCCTTTTTCAGGCTGCCTGGAATTGAAAGAAGACACCATTGAAAATCTTCTAGCAGCTGCCTGCCTTCTACAGCTCCGACAAGTAGTAGCGGTTTGCTGCGATTTTCTAATGAAGCTTTTGCACCCATCCAACTGTTTGGGAATACGAGCATTTGCTGATGCTCAAGGATGCACAGAGCTTATGAAGGTGGCCCACAACTACACCATGGTAAGACAATTTTAGATTATGTAAATTATGATCTTGTGGACCCTCTGTATCTTCTGTAAGTTAAAAAATCGTGTTAGTTGTTGTTTTGAAATCATTCTGTGCTTGTATGCAACTTGGTTTCGTAAGTGGGCCTTTTAAAACCATAGGAGTGATGACTCCTCGTATTCAGTAAAGCTAAGAGAATTGGCTTACTCTGATGAATGCACTGACTGCTGAGTTAAACTGCATATACTTTAATCAGATGCATGTTTGCATACAGGTGATAATAGTAAAAAGTATCTGTAAGACTTTAAAATACTTTTTAATCACTGTTCCATTTTCTTTAGCTTTACACGTGTTTTGTAATTGTCATTGTAATTGTTATGCATGGGAGCAGTATGAAGGAAAGTTTTGGTGTTTACCTTGTTTAGTTTTTGTCAGGAGTTATCTCCCCTTTTATTATTCTAAGAAGTCGATTAAGAGAGCAAGATGAAGACTGACAGTATTTTATTCTTTTTCCAGTTACATTTGACAGAACAGTTATGACAGTAATATTAAAAATTAATCAGAGTTAATGAAGAAAAAATATGCTACTTACTCAGAAACTAAATAGTATTGTTAGCCATTTGATTCTTCATTTTTTGACAAAATTCAAAACATCTGGCTTGTGAAATTAAATTTAAACAAAAAGTAGATTACATATCACTTCTGAGAAATAATGATCCCTTAAGGTATACACTGAAATCATTACTGACATGATACAGCAGTTCTCAGTAAATCTACTTTGCTTATCCAGCAGTTATGTCCTTATTTTGTTTATTCTGTTTTGTATAAATTGTATGGTAATTCACAGGTTTAACTGCTCTTACCACTACAGGTCAGGTACTTGTATCCATTTTGCAGTTAAAGAGCTAGTTCTGTTGCTGGCTTTAATTTTCTTTGCATTTAAACGTGTAAAATATAGTTTTTCAGGTCCAAGCTATTCAGTTTAACCTTCTGTCAGTGGAGAGAGATAAGCTGTCAGAGTAGAATTCATCTGATTTACCATAGAATGAGATCGCATTAGAAGTGAACAGGCCTGGGTTGAAAAAGTTTGACCTATTTATCAATACATGTTTTAGATTATTATTTTTATTTTGATAGTAATTTTGAGTTAAAAACAGTATTGTGAACAATGAAAACATTAATGGAGGAAACAAACAATATAATGAACAATGAAAAAATTTAAAATGTTAATGGAGAAAACCTTTGATTTTAAGAAAATTTTTGTGATTCTTTAAAGCCATTTATTGAGAGATGTTTAGGATTAATGAAAGTACTCATTATAGTACATTTGAAGACTAGTGGCTGATGCATATCTGATCTATCACAAAGTTCAAAAAGATCTCTGCCCATTTCTAAGGTATTAGGTATTGTTTTTAATGCTTGGGTCTAAAATCTGAAGTCTGTGTAGTATGTGAAGTATGTGTAATGGGAAAATCACCAAGAAAAGTTAGTAGTACTAAAAGCAAGCTTTGCTGTAACTACAATTACATTTGCAAGCGTGCATAATAGTCACAAAAAATCACACCTATTCAGTTATGCAATGAAAACATGATCCTAAAAGTAAAGGTTTGTAGTGCATGATATTGTCAATAGGCAATGTGCTATTGCATTTAGTTGTGAGATAGATCACATATGTTTCACAGAATCATAGAATGGTTTGTGTTGGAAGGGACCTTGAAGATCCTCTAGTTTCAACCCCCGTGTATGGGCACAGACACCTTCCACTAGATCAGGTTGCTCAAAGCCCTTTCCAACCTGGCCTTGAACACATCCAGGGATGGGCCATCCACTACTTCCCTGGGCAACCTGTTCCAGTGCCTCACCACCCTCACAGTAAAGAATTTCCTCCTTATGTCTAACCTAAATCTCCCCTCTTCCAGTTTTGATCCATTACCTCTTATCCTTTCACTACAAGTCCTTGAAAAAAGCCCCTCTGCAAATTTCCTGGAGGGTCCAACCCAGAGCCTTCTCTTTTCCAGGCTAAACAGCCCCAACTCTCTTAGCCTGTTTTCACAGGAGAGGTGCTCCAGCCATTGAGTCATATTCGTTGCCCTCCTCTGGACTTGCTCCAAGAGGTCAGTGTCCTTTCTGTGTTGAGGGCTCCAGAACTGGACACAGTATTCCAGGTGGGGTCTCAAGAGTGTGGAGTAGAGGGGCAGAATCACCTCTCTTGACCTGCTGGCCACACTTCTTTTGATGTAGCCCAGGACACTGTTGTCTTTCTGGGCTGCAAGTTCACACTGCTGACTCATGTTGAGTTTTTCATCAACCAACACCCCCAAGTCCTTCTCCTAAAGGCTTTTCTCAACCCATTCTCTGCCCAACTCGGACACCCCAACCCAGGTGTAGGATCTTGCACTTAGCCTTGTTGACCTTCATGAGGTTGGCATGAGCCCACCTCTCAAGCCTGTCAGGGTCCCTCTGGATGACATTCCTTCCCTCCAGTGTATCAACTAGACCACACAGCTTGGTGTCATTGGATAATTTGTTTCCAATATGTTTTATTTTTGCACATTAAATAGCTGTGACCCCATTGTAAAAGGCCAATAAATTTGCCATGCAATTCTACCAGTGGAAACATGGAACAAGACAGAGTTTTTTTAATCTTGCAAAAAATAGATTTATAGACATGGCATATGTGAAAGAATATGTAATAATTCTGACATGACTCAAATCTTGTCTTGGAATAATTTTACTTCTTAGTTACACAGGTGAAATTAGATATTAGTTGATTGATACAAATAAATTAGTTCTCTGTAACCATTAGTTGAGGTACTCATTTGAACTGCTGGAACCTTAGGATAACTCTGTGACTGCATTATACCTGGCAAATCTCTTGCAACTTTCCTACACTAACTGGTTTTAATTAGCACGTCATTCACAGTTGGTATCACAATAGCATTTTAATGAAAACCAATGTATTTTTATTAAAATTATTTACTTGATTGAATCTCCACAACTGTTTGAACCTTTTTCAAAATTTTTCAAAAGCAATTAATTGTCTAGTCTCAGACTTGATATTTTTTAAGTTCTAAATTACAGTGTTGTTTATGAAAATAATTTTAATATATTTATATATATTAATTTTGCCTTGGACTTTCACAAGACATGTAATGAGCTTGGAAATTTCATCATATTGAACAAAAATAGCTGCTAAAGAGCAGATCATTGAATTTAAGAATCTTGTTGACTTCAGGAGATACTTTGTTTCCAACACATTTTGTTTTTTCACAATAAATAGCTGTTCAATTCTTCTCAACCATGAAATCTGTGGAAGATATGAATACAAATTTTTATTTGTATTCTTGAGACAGGTATGTCCAGACTTCATTCAAATGCAGCTTTTTTCAAACTGCAAACTTAAAGTTTTTAAACTTTTTTTTAGTAATTGCTGAGCCTGGAAAAAGCTTCTAAGCAAAGTAAAATTAATTAACTGTACAGTTTTATATCCCTATCCATGAGCAGAATTACGATATCCCTGATATTTACTGAGATATTTATTCTTCAGGATCAAATATCAAATTATTCTTTTGAAATGGAAAATCTAATTGAGGAAAAGAAGGTGTATTCATGGAGGGGAGGAAGTGAGGAAATGAAGAAAAGCAGTGAAGGAAAACCAGAAAAGATTTTAAACATCTTTAGAAAATACACTTGCCAAATAGCAAGTTACAGGTTTAGTGGGGAAAGAGATTAAAATAGGAAGTTGGAAATTTCTGTCTTTGCATTCTCGGCATTTTTTAAAAAATAGAACTTGGATAGCAACATTAAAAAAAAGAGCATTAGAAACAAGAACTTAAAAATAAGAGAAAAAAATGTAAAGTTTCAATATTTTCTTCTTTTAGATTTAGCATAGGGTTTTTTTTTTTTTATTTCTGAAGTATAAAGTTGCTCTGCCAGTGATTTATGTTGCAGGTTCTTTGGCTGGTTTTTTGTTGTTGTTGTTTTGTTTTGTTTTGTTGTTTTGTTATTGCTATTACTTTGGATTGGTTTTGGGTTTTTTGGTATGTTTTTTAATGAATCTGTTGCTTTAAAGGTCAGCACAAATATCCATGTCTGTCTTGATTTAGACTTCTGTACTTCTTAATTACCTCATGAGGTTTTGGTCGTTTGTCAATATGCAAAGCCATATGTCTGATTATTTTTAAATCCTTAGTTTTTATCAGTTGTATGAAAGTACAGGGAAATGCATATATGGTCTTTAAAAAATCAAAATCAGCAAAAAGGAAAATAACAAAAAGCTAGCAAATGCATTTTTCTAAGGCATTTTTAGTGACATTTCTTTAATCTCCTACTTATCAGGGGTTTCATAGGTAGGGAAGTTAACCTGTAATCACCTTGTGATACATGTCAGAAATTAGAGTAATAATATATGGTTTTATTGGTTCTATAGTACAGAAAAAATATAATTTGAAATTGTGATGGTAACCTTACTGGGATGCTAGTATTTTTAGAATAGACAACCAATAATAGATATCCAAGTTTAATTAACTATATGGCCTAGGGAGATTAAAAGTTTATAGTATTTTTTCCTTAAATAGATAACTTCAGTTTTGTTTTAAAGCATGGGAAATTTTTTAATATTCTATTTGTATTTGGTAAGGTTTTGAATACAACTGAAGTTTGCTTTCAGTCTCACTGTAAAGAAAATGTTTCAACTTATGTTATGACATAAATAATGCTTACAAATTTAGAGGATACCCTTGCAAGTCTTCAGATTACTTTGAGACACTGAATAGGAGGATGGCTGTATGTAGAATTCCCATGAACAGAAAAGCATATATGAAGAAAGTTATTGATGTGTCCGTAACCCAGTCTAAATGTTAGCAGTATAAAAGGACCCTAACATATGTTACAATTCCAAGCCTGGGAGATGCAGAATGCTTGCGGTTGCCTTTTAATGAGGTGGTAGAAGGTGTTTAGTCTCTCATAGGTGCAGTTCTGTGGTTCACGATGCAAGCAAGGTTCATTAGTCCCAG